ATTCTATTCTATTCTATTCTATTCTATTCTATTCTATTCTATTCTATTCTGCTCTGATTCCTTATTCTCTACTCTATTCTTCCCTATTCTATTCTACGCTATTCTTATTCCTTATTCTATTCTACTGTGCTCTTATTCCTTATTCTCTGTTCTATTCTATATTTCTATATTTTCTATTTCTATTCTATCGACAACCACAGTTGAGCCAAACATATCCATTGCTGAGCAAGGCAGTTGTAAAATCAGTTCTGCCCCATTTTATGACATTTTTTTTGCCACTGTTGCTAAGCAAATCACTGCAGTTTTGCTAAGCGATCCTGGCTTCCCCCATTGATGGAAGTCAGCCAGGAAGGTTGCAGATAGCGATCACGTGATCGCGGAACAGAGCATCCATCATAAATACCTGTCAGGTGCCTGGGTTTTGATCATGTGACCTTGGAGATGCAGCAACCGTCACAAGAATGAAAAACGGCCATAAGTCGCCTTTTCAGTGTCATAACTTGAACGGCCATTAAACAAAGACTTGTAAAGTGAAGGATTTCTTGCATACCCGCGTTTGCATTTTTAGCATTTTGAGAACCGGCTTAGAGGGCTGATGAAATTCAACCAGCCAAAATGGAGGCAAGTTTAAGGCGATGAAAAATGAAGATTTTTTTTTTTTTAAACTTCTCCAAGAATGGTGATGGGCCTGTGAATTTGTTTAGAGGGAAGACACCTGACTGGGGAATTCTGGGAGTTGAAGTCCAGATGTCTGAAAGCTGCCAAGGTTTGAAAATTAAATATTGGCAGTCCCAAAGGTGCTTTTTTTTTTTTTTTCAAGAGGCAACTGGACTTTCTGGTTTTTCTCTGAAGGCATTTCGCTTCTCATCCAGGAAGCTTCTTCAACTCTGGCTGGATGGTGGGGAATGGAAGGATTTCCTCAGGTTGACACAGATAAAAAAAAACCACCTCCGAGTGGCCTCAACGGCTCTCTAAAAGAACGCAAATAACCAGCTGTCTGCAAGGAATATAAATCCTTCCATTCCCCACCATCCAATCAGAACTGAAGAAGCTTCTTGGATGAGAAGCGAAACGTCTTCAAAGAAAAAGAAGAAAACCCAACTACCTATTGGGGGAAAACAGCACCTTTGTGACAACCATGACCTGGAGGACTGAGAATCTCCCTAGATAAAATATTGGAAGCACTTCTGCTTCCTAGCACTGGTGGATGCAGCCCCCATAATGGATTTCTTCCTTTGGATTCTTCTTTCTCCCCCCCCCCCCCCCCCCCCCCCCCCCCACACCCCCCCCCCCACACAAAAGACGACTGAGTTTGAAGGAAGCTGACATTAGGTGCCGCTCTAGGAACTCTTCGCTCACCACCTTTTCTGTCCTGCTTTGCAGTTCTCAACATGCTCAGCCATCCTTTCGGGAAGCCGTCGCTGGGCTTCCTGCCACTCAATCCCATCGGCTCAGAGCTGAGCGAGAACCTTGCGACTCCCACCTTGAGGGCCTCCCGCTTGGACAGCAGCCGTTCCCTTCTCTATTCTCGTTCCAGCAGCCCCTCCGACTCCGACACCAGTGGATTCAGCTCTGGATCTGACCACCTTTCAGATCTGATCGTAAGAAAATCGTGGATGTTCTTTTTTTCCCTTTTTTCTCGTGTGGTTTTGGAGATGGGAAGGAAGTTAGAAGTTCTCGAGTTGCGCTTAAACCTGCTTTAATTAATTAAGTGAATGTAAAAAACTGTATAGGGCCGCCCAACTCACTCATAGGGACGCTGGGCGGCTTGCAGAAGTAAAAACCCCCAAATGTAGGACCTGACAAACCCCCATTCCTCTGGTGACCACAATCATACATACCGCTTGATGGGCTCCATATCAAAACCAGGTCTTCAGGCCTTTCCAAAGAGTGTCAAGGTCTTACCTCTGTAGGGATGATGTTCCACAGGTGGGACCATGGAGAAGGCCCGTCTTCTTGCTCCCACTAGATGGACCTCCATTCTGGTGGGTTGGATAGATGTAACCCAGAAGGATAGTCCTTTAAATCCAACCTCCAATCCTCTCCAACCTTGGCCACTTTAAGACTTGTGGACTTCTGGCTGGCTGAGGAACTCTGGGAGTTGAAGTCCACAAGTCTTAAAAGTTGGCAAGGTTGGAGACCCCCTGCTTTAAACAACCTGACCCCAAGCTGTGTTTTAAAGGTGACAACCAGCATTTCGCATTGGACCTGGAAGTAAATCAACAATCCGTGTAGGAGAGGTGTCACACATAAACATCCAGACCGCACAAAAACCATGTGAGCCACACGTCACACCTTGGACCCATTGAAGACTGAATGTAGCGGGAGTTTAATTCTTGCATTGGTGTGAGGCTGGGCGTGTGGTTGCCTTTCCAGTATCTTCCCAAATGTGAATTATTAAATTTTTTTCACGGTACGTCTTTTGGCAGTCAAGTCTCCGTATCTCACCTCTGCCGTTCCTGCCTGTCGGCGGCATCACCAGAGATTCCTTGAATGGAGCAGGATCTCACCTGGATCAAGAGCAGGCTGCCTTGGCTGCTCTTACCTCCTCCACCCCAGCCACCTTGTCCAAGCAGTGGCCTAGGGCCACTTCCTGGCCATCCTGGAACATCACCGATTCTCCAGACGACCCCTTCAGCATCGAAAGAGAAGCCAGGCTCCACAAGCAAGCCGCAGGTGAGCCCAACCTGGGCTGTGTGAGGGTAACCAGAGAGGCCAGGTAAGAATTCCACCACTGTCCCATATCCCACCTCATAGGTGAAACTTCTTTGTGGCTTTTGTCTTCAGCTATGAACGAAGCAACCTGCACTTGGAGTGGGCAGCTCCCACCTCGAAACTACAAAAACCCCGTTTACTCCTGCAAGGTGTTTTTAGGAGGTGTTCCCTGGGACATCACAGAAGGTGAGTTCCTGATGACTCTTGCACGCGCCTTTCTTTAAAAAAACAAAAAAAAACCTATTCGGGTGTGGTGTCAAAGACATGCAATGATATAGTTCTTGACTTTTGGCTTTTCCAAGATGAGGCAGGTGCCCGAATGTTTCTCAGTGGCCAAGAAGTAGCATTCTCAACATTGAGAATGTCTCATGCTGCAGTATTGCAAACCTGGCCATTTTTAAAAAGTGGAGATGCTTTCGTGGTTTTTAAATTTAGCAAACGCACTTGGACTTATATACCGCTTCCCAGGGCTTTTACAGCCTTCTCTAAGCGGTTTACAGAGTCAGCCTGTTGCCCCCAACAGTCTGGGTCCTCATTTTACCCACCTTGGAAGGATGGAAGGCCAAGTCAACCTTGAGCCGGTGAGAATTGAACTCACGGCAGTGGGCAGAGTGAGCCTGCAATATTGCATTCTAACTACTGGGAGAGGGAGGGTGAAAGGAAGGGAAGGAAGGAAGATAGCAATAGCCCTTAGACTTATATACCACTTCACAGTGTTTTTACAGCCTTCTCTAACCAGTTTACAGAGTCAGCCTCTTGCCCCCCAACAATCTGGGTCCTCCTTTTACCCACCTCAGTAAAGGATAGAAGGCGGAGTCAACCTTTAGCCTGGTGGGATTGGAAACTGCCAAATTGCAGGCAGCTGGCAGTCAGCAGAAGTCGCCTGCAGTACTGCACTTTAACCACTGCACCACCGTGGCTCTTTTTAATTAAAAGACCAGTGAGGGTCACCGAACCCTCAGGAGTTAAGACCTTGAAGCAGGGGTCTCCAAACCTTTGGCAATTTTAGAGCTGGAAATGACTAGCACGCCTGGGCGAGTGGAAGCTTTACCTTTGCTTTCCTGTATTAGCTACCTGCCGTCGCTGGGGCAAGGGGGTAGAAGCGGCCTTCCCCTAGCCTACCTCACGGGTTAGAGGGGGGCAGATGGAGTTGTGTTGGTGTCCCTCCTCTCTTAACAAAGCCCGTCTCTTCTTTGCAGCGGGTCTGATCAGCAGCTTCCGCGTGTTTGGCTCGCTGAGAGTGGAGTGGCCTGGTAAGGATAGCAAGCATCCCCGCTGCCCTCCGAAAGGTAATATGCCTAAAGGTAATATAGACATGGTAGGAATTCTTTTTATCCATGCTTCGTATAGACCACTGAGGGCTCCTGGGCATGAGTGCATGCTGGTGACGGACAAGGACAACACCCGTAAGTGGGTGGCTGCCTCGTGGTGCACAGGTGCTTCCTTTTCACCCTCTTCTCCACCTTTGCCAGGGGAAAACTGCACACCTGAAGCTGTTCAGGGCTGAGGACAGCAGGACTTTGGGGCTGGGAGAGAGGGACCCCAGGTGCCCTCAACAGTTGTCCCCTTTACCTGCATCAGGGCCACGTTATCCTAGAATCCTAGGTTGGAAGGCACCTTGGTGGCTTCCTGGTCCGGCTCCTAAGGACTATAGAAGAACTGAGCTTGGAGAAGGAAGAAGGAGAGGGTAGGGCTTGTAGAAAAAAGAAGCAGGCAGCCCCGAGAAAGAAGTGTGAGGAGGAAACTGAAGTCCCCATGTCTTAATTCTATTCAGTATAGCAACAACAAGAGTAATAGCACTTATACCACTTCGTAGCGCTTCACAGGCCTCTCTCTTAAGCAGTTTACAGAGCACCTTGGAAGGATGGAAGGCTGAGTCAACCTTTGAGCCAGTCAGGATTGAACTCCTGGCAGCGAGCCGAATTGGCCTGCCTTCTTAACCACTGCGCCGCCACAATTCATGGTATAAAATGGGACGGAGAGAAAGAAACTTGGAGAGGCTTTCGGGATTCCATTTTTCTAGTCAAGAATACTCCTGGGAATCCTGTTGCTTGACCTGGCTTGCTTTTGGAAGGGTTCTTCACATCCACTTTGAAAGCCTGTTCAAGTTTCCCTCTGTCCTGTCTTGAGCCCTGAACAAAAAAAACCCAAGGTGTGGTGGTCAATTGCTTTCCCACACTTCTCTCCATCACAGGATCTTTTCGGTAACTCCCTTCTTTACCTGTTCATACCTTCCTTCTACATTGCTTTGAAAACCCTCCTGTCCAGAGCAGGAATCCCGAGACCATTCCAGACAGATAGCCAGTCTTGACTTGGAAAACCTCCAGTGATGCATCTGGGACAGTTCCATTAGGAAATGCTTCTCTTGTTCAAGAGGTTCGGAGCTTCCCTCTTGGTGCCTTGGTTCTACTCAAGAGCTACAAAGAACAAATTGCACTCTGTTTCCTGGGACATAGTATGGTATAGATCAGTATTTCTCAACCAACCTTGGCAGGACTAATACTCACAGTCTTCTGGTTTTCTACCCTGGTGCCTTAACCACTCGACTAAGTAGAATATGCTTGTTAATATTGTGCTTCCTCCAATTATTGGATGTGAGAGTTGTTACTGAATATTCCCCAAAGAGTTGAAGTGGTTGGGTCTCTCCGATACAACAAAGCACTTAATATTAATTAATCTTACGATGTGTTGGAAGAGAACGTGTGTTCTGCAGTCTTTAAGGTCTTAATTCTCTCTCTCTCTCTCTCTCAACCGTAGGTTATGCCTACCTGGTGTTTGAATCTGAGAAGTCTGTACGTGCCTTGCTCCAAAATTGCTCCCGAGATATGCTGAGCCCCAGTGGCCTAAGCGAATACTACTTCAAGATGTCCAGCCGTAGAATGAGGTGCAAGGAGGTGAGTGGAACCGCCTGGCCTCTACTCCAAGGTGCACATGAACTTAGCAGGTTAAAAGTCCATTGCAAAGGTTGCACACGAACACATCCGCAACAACGCACATGGCTCGTTCTCATTTAGTGGCTGCCTCATTTAACAACCTTTCACAGTTACAAAAGTGATGAAAAAGTGACTTTACTACCAATCTTCGTACTGGTAGTCCTTGACTTACAACGCTTCATTTCGTGACTGTTCAAAGTTACAATGGGACTGAAAAAAGGGACTTATGACCTTGTTTTGTTTGCACTTAATGACCGCTTGTAGCATCCCTGTGGTCACCTGATTAAAATTCAGGCAATTGGCAACTGGAATGTCCTTATGACAGTTGCAGTGTCCCAAGGTCATATAATCCCCATGTGCAACTTTTTTGAATTCGAATTCTTTATTGTCATTGTACGTATATACACAGTATACATACACCGAAATTCACATAACACCCAGAGACCAGACTCAACATGCACGCACACATGATAATCCCCAAACACACACACACACCCGCCAAAATTCCCCGCCTCCTAAAAACACACACGCATCCACACTACAGACCAAGTAGTACTGCCCAACAGCTCACTGATGGTGGCCCTTAAGTTCATTGTCAAGTGCAATTATAGCTATGGGATAAAAACTGTTCAGAAAACGTGTGGTACAAATTTTAATTGTTCTGCATTTTCTGCCATAAGGCAACAGTTCACAAAGATTGTGAGCAGGATGGGGAGAGTCTCTGAGAATGTGGTGCAACTTCCTCAAACAGTGAGATGTGAAGATGTCGTCCAGGGCTGGTAGCTGGAGCCTGATGATATTCCAGGCAGATTTAAATGATTTTGACAAGCAAAGTCAATGGGGAAACCAGATTTCATTGAACAACTGTGCTACTAACTTAACAACTATTGCAATTTGCTTAACAGCTGCAGGAAGACAAGTCGTAAAATGGGGCAAAACTCATTTAACAGAAATTTTGGGCTCATTTCTGATCGTAAGTTGAGGACTACCTGCAATTATGACATTTGCAAGTCTGCAAAGCAGAGGGGGAAGTTGAAGTGAAATTGTGAAATCCTGAGCTTCACTTTGTTGCATGCTTTTAAACATGGAACTCTGCCTCTTGCGAGTATTCTTTGGTGCTTAAAACCTGGGCAGATACAAGTACTGATGCCAAGCAGTGTCTGCAGACAAAGAGGCCTTGTTTGTGCCCACAGGACTGGTCAAGCCTCAGATGGCATTTATAGGGGTCAAGTCTAGCAGACAACAGGATATTCGGGATTAGTTTTTGCAGCTCAAATGAGGACGGAGTTACAGGGGAAAGATGCTGGCTGGGGAATTCTGGGAATTGAAGTCGAGAGCTACCTCGACGCTTGGTGTGTAAAGGACAGGGTGGGATTTGTGCAGATGTCTTGAACGGCACTAACCATTGGGCCTGCAGGTGCAAGTGATCCCCTGGGTCTTGGCCGATAGCAACTTCGTGCGCAGCCCAACTCAGAGGCTTGACCCTGGGAAGACGGTCTTCGTGGGAGCCCTTCACGGGATGATGAATGCAGAGGCCCTGGCGGGAATCCTTAACGATCTGTTTGGCGGGGTTGTCTATGCAGGTATTGACACAGACAAGCACAAGTATCCCATTGGTAAGTAAAAGCCGGTCCTCGGGGCCTTCGGTGGGGGTGGCATCTGGGGCTTTGTGGAACACCAGTGGCATTCCCCACATAGGAAGTCGAGGGAAGAAGAAGTAGAGACTCTGATGGCCTTGATTTCACTGTTGGGCTGTGGTGAGCCACGGGTGGGAGAGAAGGGGCTGCCTAGAGGTCACTTTAATTGAACTGAAGCTGGATGAGTTTGCTAAGAACCGTGGTTGCACAGCCGTCAGAATGTGGTGTCGCAGGTTAATTCTGCTGATTGCCAGCAGTTCAATCCAGAGTGTCTGTCTGTCTATCTATCTATATCTATCTATCTATCTATCTTTTTATTTCTGTCTATTCTCTCTCTGTCTCTGTCTCTATTATCTATATCAGCTGTGGTCGCGCAGTGGTTAGAATGTAGCATTGCAGGCTAATTTTGTTGATTACCAGTAGTTCGATCCTGACCGGCTCAAGGTTGGCTCAGCCTTCCATCCTTCCGAGGTCGATAAAATGAGGACCCAGATTGTTGAGGGTGATAGGCTGACTCTGTAAACCGAGTGCTGTAAAGCATTATGTAGCAGTATGTAAGTCTGTGCTATCGCTATTTTCTAGTTGATCTTTGCCAATTCTTGGCAACTGGGAAGAATTAAAAACTGGTTTTCCTCCCCGTCCCCGGTACATGTTGCACTGGACATTTTGAATGTTATTAAAAATGGACAAAATCTGTTTTCAGTTCAGGTTGACTTGGCAATATTTTTACCTATACATCTGTTGTCTTCCTGAATTAATCCTTGGTTATTAAGATCAAAATGTATTTCAACAGGACCAAAAAGAGCCAGCTGAGAAGTGTGAAATTTTATTAATGTTCAAGTTCCAATCTAAATCTTAATCTCAGAGGTGCAATAAGGACATTTCGTACAGAAATAAGCAACGGTTCAGGTTCCTGAAACAAACATTTTTTTTTTTGTATTGTCATTCTGTCCAATCTGGGTTGAGACCGATACTGCTCAGAATAATCCCACTCTTCCTTCTCTCGCCCCAGTAGGGTAGACCTTGTAGTAAGTCACGTGCATGCTTGACTCATAAAGCTTTGTTATTGATCTGGTGCTCAGTCTTATTGTACTGATCAACTGATTTATTTGCAGGGTCTGGACGTGTCACCTTTAACAACCAGCGTAGCTATCTGAAAGCAGTCAGTGCTGCATTTGTGGAGATCAAAACAACAAAGTTTACAAAAAAGGTATTGAGCCTCCAAGTCATATGCTTCGTAGTGCAGAGACGCCCAAATTTGCATCGTGGCAAGTCCCTCTGTAAAGTCAAGAGTAGAGATTCTGGTTGGAATAAAAGATTTATTGGTTTAGTTTCTATAAGCCGCCCACCTCAAACAAGAGACACTCCGGGTGTTGAAACCAAACAATTACAAACAGTTACAAAATTAATGCAAGACACACGGAGACTGTGGGTACTAAAACTTGTCAGACTTTGCATTCCCCAAGTACCAAAAGAAACAATCAGCAACAAGAATGCATGATCTACTCTGAATGTTTCATAGGGAGTTCTGGGCGAAGGGACCATTTGTGGTTTTCCCCTTGGGGCGATTTTGCAGATCATTTCCCAAAGCAGCAGTCGAAGCATCCCTTATTTTGTTGAATTAACCAACCGGGGTGGGGTGGGGAACATGGGCCGGTCCTGGAGGCTGAGGAAGGCTCGGACGAGGACTCTGAGATGGGGCCAGGGCAGGCTGGCAGTTGTCAGCTGCCTTCGGAGTTAGACAGCAGTAAGGTGGGGGGAGCAGCTGGAGGTGGTTCCCAGCCTGCGCATAGCTGCCAAAAGAAAAGAACAATTACGAACTAAGGGTCGTCATGGAAGTAAAGCCACAGGTGGACGGTGAATGGCCCCTCCCATAGGGATTAAAAGAGGAGGGGGCTTTTGCAGGAAACAATATTCACTGCAGCAGTGTCTTGTCTGTGCCTCTCAGAGACTCTGCTGAGTCCTTCCTTGTCAGCACTGTGTTTGGAAATACTTACTTGGCAGCTCTCCGAGCTAGAATAAGGTCTGTGGTCCTTATTACACCCTTGAATGACTGTTTGCCAGGCCTTTGGCTGAAAGTGAATGCAAGAAATTCACCTTTGTTTAATAAAAGGGGTTTTTCCAGGGACAAAGAGTCTGCTTAGTGCTTTTTGGAGAAGCCTCGTAGGTCAGAACGCTTACACCCAAAGGGATGAATTTCCTTTTCTCTCTCTACAGGTTCAGATTGATCCGTATCTAGAAGATGCCATGTGTCAGATTTGCGGATCTCAGCCAGGTCCTTTCTTCTGTAGAGATCAGGTATTCGCTCCTATTTTCATCCTTGGTCTTTTTATTGTTGTTCTGCTACAGCAGGGGTAGGGAAACTTGGCTCTTTTATCACTTACGGACTTCAACTCCCAGAATTCCTGAGTGATGAGTCATAAAAGGTTCCCCATCCCTGGCCTAGTGGTTTTTCAGTTGTGGGGAAAATCAATTTTTGACTCGAATGGGACTGTTTAATATTATATATGTCCTACATTTGTATATTAAACAGTCCCATTCGAGTCAAAAATTGATTTCCCCCACAACTGAAAAACCACTAGGCCAGGGATGGGGAAACATATATTGTCAGCGCGTTGTTGTATTAAAGAGTCTGGCATGTTATCTGCTTTCAGCATAAGAGTAGGGCTTTAGTTACAAGGTGGCTTACAGACCTTCTCGTGATCTTCTCGGTCCCACCTAGATGTGCTTCAAATACTTCTGTCGCACTTGCTGGCACTTGAAGCATTCCATGGAAATCCTACACCACCACCGTCCATTGATGCGTAACCAGAAGAACCGTGACGCCAGCTAGAGCAGCGCCAGCGAGCTGCTCCTCCTCTTCCCTTGACTTAAGAGGAGAGAGAGAGAGACCAACCGATCCTAGTTGGTGCCACACCCAGGCTGAGGGAGATGCCCGTCGGAAGGACTTAACGGGGAAACCTTTGCCTTCACATTTGCACTTGCTGGTCTTTCTTTGTTTCTGCACTAATGCACAGTGAAGTTCTCTCTTTTTATTTATTTTTTTGGTCGGGGGTTTGTTTGAGGGTTTTTTTTTTTTTTTGAGAGGGGAGGCCCCCTCAAAACAATTCTGCAGTTCCCAGACTTTGGTCCCTTGCTTGCTGAGGGGAAAAGCACCAAGGGACCATAGGTTGAGAAGGTATTGAACGCAGATGCCTTCAGATTTCTTATTTATCAAGGGCCCTTTTTTACATTTCTTGCAATACTGATGGTGGAATGCATAATAATGCAGTTCTCATTGGCTCCAGTTTGTTTGCAGTTGCCATACAGTGCCTTTCCATTCGTTTAACCTTCCCTCCCTCCCTCCCTTCCCTCCCTCCCTCCTTCCCCATCTGAACGGAATAAACTGGATGTTCAGCTGGTGTTTTTTACTGTAACAACAAGGAGACTGTTCTTCTTCACTTGAAACCAAAATCATATTTCATATTTTATGCGCCAGGATTTTTACCAGTTCCTTTTTACACTCTTGAAAATGGTTTTTAAGCCGTTTGAGACGAGATTTTTTTCTTTCCTGGCAGCTTTTAACATCCTTGCAACTTATTTCTGGGAGCTGTTAGTTTAAAAAAAAAAAAAGAAGAAAAAAATAATAATAATAATAATAATTCCCAGTTGTGAATAGCAGTATTTGCAACCCAAGAAAGGAGGACAGGATAATTTGGATTTTGAAACCGGACCGGATAAATGGATCTTTGATCTGCTGTATATAGTTCGTTGCACTTTTAAGTTGCACTTATAAAAGGGGGCTTGACAAAAGGTTTTTAATCACAAAAGTCACAAAGGCTTCAATTTTCTTTCCTTTTTAATATCTGAGCAGAGGTAAGGGCTGCGCTGGGTCGGGCCAGCAAAGGTTTTACAAGGACCCCTTTTCTGTTTTAGAGGGACGGGAGGCCCCCTCCGGAGCAGCCCCCCTGATTGCGCTGGGAATTGAAGTTTAGATTTTGTTTCATTTTTGGTCCTTTTCCCCCCCGTCTCTTGGAAAGCTGTGTGCCAAAGAACGAATGTTCTAAGTTCTCCCTTTTTCCTGCTGAGCTCATGTTGCATAATTCCAGCTGCTCTTTGTGGGGTTGTTGTGAAGCAGTATGTGAAGTCTACCTCATTGTAGCATATGCGGGCAAGACTGCATTCTCCTACAATTGTGTGGAGTAAGCTGTGATGTAGTTCTTGGCACATAATAAAAACACGTTGCAGCAGAACCTCAGGCTTGTGGTGTGTTTTTTTTTCAGAGCTGGGGGGCTGAAAGACTGGGGAATCTGAAGGTTGCTGTCTGTGTACAGATTATCCTCAATTGACGACTGTAATCGAACCCAAAATCTCTGTTGCTGAGACACAAAAGGCGCCTTTTCAGGAGGCAACTGGATTTTCTCATTTTTCTTTTTCTTTTGAAGACATTTCACTTCTCATCCAAGAAGCTTCTTCAGCTCTGACAGGATGGTGGGGAAGGGAAGGATTCGTGTTCCTGGCAGACAGCTGGTCATTTGCATCCTTTTAGAGGGTTGTTGAGGCCACTTGGAGATTTATCTGTGTTCTCAGGATTACCAGCAAATGACCAGCTGTATAGACAATATAGAGAGGGAAAGAAACACTGGATTGCTGAAGGCACAGGTCTGCCAAAGATTCCAAACTTGGTTTGTTGAAATACCATAAAATATAGGGAGTTTACTGTCACCGTGGCCTTGCTGGTACAAACAAAACACACAAGTCAAAATGCATACACACACCAGTTGTATCATCCAATTACTTTTTCCTCTATTCGGACACAATTGGGAATGGGTCCTGTTTTCTGTGGGATCATTTCATTTAAAAGCGGATGGGAATGGTGAAAGGAACCAGGTGGGCCTTTGTGGGGATAAATTTAGAGCTAAAAAGGAAAGAACTTTACAAGCAGGCAGCCGAGTTTGCCCACAGCGGAATGCGGATATCTCGGACTGGAATGGAGTTACCTTAAGAGGTGAGTGGCTGGCACGCTCCACTCAAACATCTGCAGAGGAACCTTGTATAATTTTGCTCGTGGTGAAAATCAAATTGCAATAACAGTTCCTGAAGCAGAATTAGGTTAAGAAATATGAAATATAAATTAATTTCCACATCCAGCCCACTTGGCTTCTCTTACTATCTTTGTCCTGTCTGTCTAGCCACAATTAGAATTCCCATTTCTAAGCAAGGAGATTTAAGTGAAGCTCGTCCCATTTTATGACCCCTTTTGCCCTGATTGGTAAGCAAATCACGTCATTAAGCAAATCCAGCTTCCCCTGAATGCTTTTGTCAAACGAATGGGGAAGTTTGCAAATTGCAATCACGTGACTCCAGGGCTCTGCAATTGTCTTAAATGACAGTTGCCAAGCACCCAAATCTTGACATGACTAGGAATTGTAAGTGCAAAGACTGGTTGTAAGTAACTTTTTCTGTGCTGTTGTAACTTTGGTCATTAAACACATGATTGTAAGTTGACTAGCTGTATTAAGGCAGATGTCTGTTTTTCAGATTTTTTTTCAACATGGTCTGAAAAGGAATAGAATAGAACAAGAGAATAGAATAGAAGTTGGAAGGGACCTTGGAGGTCTTCTAGTCCAACCTGCTTAGGCAGCAAACCCTATACCATTTCAGACAAATGATTCTCTTAAAAACTTAGTGTTGGAACATCCACAACTTCTGGAGGCAAGTTATTCCACTGATTGTTCTAACTCAGAAAAAGTCACTGTGAGTTGGGCAGCCAAATAAATTTGTTTAATAAAACCAAATCATCTGGTGGCAAAAAAGTGTCCTCGTTAGTACGCCTAAACCTTTCTCAGAAGGCCATGCAAACTCAAAATGGCAGCTTTTTTAAAAAAATGCAATTATCTACTTTTTTTGAAGAGGTATCGCTACATTTCCATCAGAAGAACAGGTAAGTCATGGATGAAATCACCTAACACCAGAATCCCACAATAAGGAACCTAGAGATAATTCCAATGGAAATAGTATGGAGGTTATGAGTGCTCAAATCCGGGGTCTCCAACCTTGGCGACTTGTGGACTTCAACTCCCAGAATTCCTCAGCCAGCTTTGCTTTGCTGGCTGTGGAATTCTGGGAGTTGAAGTCCACAAATTGCCAAGGTTGGAGACCCCTGGCCTAAACCATAATTCCAAGGATCCAGTGATTTTCCCGGAAGAGTTATTTTCTTTGAGACTTTCCCTGATCCATTTTGTCAAGAGAGCTGTGAAAACCTGGCTCTGGACCAGGGTGTTAGGAAAGCCCTTGTGTTTACTAATTACATATAGCCCTTGGCCTAAGACCACAGTTGAGCCTAAAATATCTTGTTGACATTTGTTAAGTGAATTTTGCCCCATTGTATGACTTCTTGGCTGTTAAGTGAATCACTGCAGTTAATTAATCAGTAATCCAGGTTGGGGATGTTGGAAAGGTCATAACCGAAAAACTATCAAGTCACATTTTTCAGGGCTGTTGTAACTAGTCAGTAAACAAACTGTTTGTAAGTTGATTACTTGCATTAATATTTTTCACGCTTGTAAGCTGCCCAAAGTGGTGCATAAATCTGTGGCCATAAACAAACAAAAAAAATCAAAATTATAAGTAAATAATCGGTTCGCCCATTATTTCAACATTCCAATTAGAGCATTTAATGCACCTTTCAAATTTGAATGAACTAAATACAGTCTATATATATATATATATATATAAAATATTTTAAGGTATCTTTGATTTTGGGGTGAATTAAATACAATTTGGCTTTATGGCTAAACAGAACAGCCTATAGCCTGTGCATGAAAATGATCTGGGTGTTTAGACTTCACTTGCGATAATAGTTTGAAAGCGCCCCCAGGGGAATATCCTTTATTTCTGTGGCATCGGTATATATCTTTTTCTCAAACCAAATTGCTGTCCTCTTGATGCAGTTCGATCGATACATTCGCTCAGCCTTTGGTTAAGATCAAATGTCGAGAGCAGAGCAGTGTTTATTGTGTTGACACACAGGCAAGGCTAATGCAATTGGCTGTAATTGTGTTTTTTTTCAGCCTGAGCACGAGTTGCATTGTCACTTCTTGGCTGTGGGAAATCCTGTTCATTTCAAGACTTCCATAACTGCATAACTTTCACAGCTTTGCAGAAATGTCAGTTTAAAAAAAATGAGCTCTTCATAGATTTCACATAATATTAAAGTCTCATTTTCTTCCTGCAAATTTATTTATTAATCAAATTTATATAGTGGCCCATCTCCCCCTCAATGGGGACTCTGGATGGTGGACAACAATAAATAAAACAGTTGATATAAAACAAGCAAAAACCTTTAAAATCACAATAATTCCTTTTCTTTCCTGAGCTCAATGGGAAAAAATGTAGAAGAAATATTTTTATAGATTTAAATTTCTCCTATCTGTATCGTTCTTCCATTAAAGAAAAGGCTGTCACAGGGAAAACATTATAAATTATTTGGGGAAGGAACTCCAATATTGAGGGGAAAATATTAAAAAAAAAATGAGTTGGAGAACTGAACCAGACATAATTTTTAAAAAAGCAGGATACATTTTCTTTAGTAACCCAACACAGTCGTATTTCTGGACTGTTGTCACACTTGGATATTCTATTTTTACTAACAATAATCGTGTTAAGTTTTTCTTGTCTAAAACTTCTTCACCATGAAAATATATCTTACATACAGATGAAAGAAGATTCTATCTGACATACATATAATTGATGATTTGCTAAATGTTTTTGTATAGTTTCTCCACAAATTTCTCTCCAGATCCTATGCATTTCTGGGATGGCACTGGAAATTTGGCATCCCACTTAGTACCT